AAAAAAAAAAAAAAAAAAGAAAAAAGAAAGAAAGAAAGAAATTTCATATTTCAGTACTGTTGTGATTGAGACTATTGAGAGTATAGTTATTTTCTTTAGGGAAGGGGTTTTCAGGGCTATTTTTTGCTTTTTAGTTAGATGCCTTTGAATCATACCTAAAGTCTGATTCTCAGTGCCTGATAAAATACATTTCTATTTTACACATTTCTCATTGTAAGAAAGTGTTTCCTACTTGCAATCTTTTGTCAAAATGTCATTCAAGAAGCCCTTTTCCTTCGTACTCTCATGGGTTGACAACATGCTGTTTATTTGGCATTACCCCGTGGGATTAAGTTATTAATCCTGAACTCATACCTCTTTTATGATTATTCAGGTGCTTCTTTTGAGAGAACAAGCCCACGATATAAAATTCCAGAACTAAGTGTGGCAAATTGGAGTCAGGAAGCAGTAGACACTATTGTTCCCATTGTATTTAAGCTTAACTGAATTTTAAGTTCCAGGATTGTGTTGTCTTTGTATACATTGCTTTAAAAATGCTTAGCAAAACCAGGCTCACCCCATCCCCTAAAGTGACAAGCGATAAATTTTACTTTATGTTGCTATAGCAAGATACCTAAGATTGGATCATTATAAAGAATATAGATTTATTTAGATCATGGTTCTGGAAGCTAGGAAGTCTAAATTCATGGAGCTGGTAAGGGGGCCTTCTTTTTTTTTGAGTGGGAGGTTGAGACAGGGTCTCACTATGTAGTTGAGACTGAACTGGAACGCACTATGTAGCCCAGGTTGGTCTCGAACTCACAGAGATCCTCCTGCCTCAGCCTCCCGAGTGCTGGGATTACAGGCGTGTGCCACCATGCCCGGCTTTAAGGGGGCCTTCTAATTGCATGATAACATGGTGGAGGACATCACAAAACAGTCATGCTTTTGAGAGAGGGTCTGTCTTCCTCTTATAAAGCCTCTAGTAGCATCGTGGGGACCCTACTCTGCTGATTTTATCTAATTCTCATTATCTTTCAAAGGCTCCACCCCCAAATACCGTGAATATGTGACTTTGGGAATAAGTTTATAACACGTGCAGTTTGGCGAACACAGTCAAATCAGCACACTACTGGTTACTAGATTTTTGGAAGTGAATTACCCTTTGTTATTTTTATTCTTATAATTTGCTTTTGAATGAAGAAATTGTAGAAGGCGTCTGTATGCATTTTGTTGCTTCTGGAGTTTTACACACTAGCTGGTAATAAAACAGGCGTAGAATTAACAGCATACTAAACAAAAGCCAGAAACCTTTTACTGAAGTTTTACTTCCAACCAGTTTGAGGCCAGCAGCTAATCAAATTACACCTCTAGTGCCCTATAGTTTTATCTATGATTCGTTTTTGTTGTTGTTGTTGTTGCGGGGGTAATTTAGGGTGAGGTTGGACCAATTTTTTAAAAGCCCTTCCAGCATTAAATGCCTTGTGTTTCCTTCCCTCTGTCCATGGGTACCTAGCAACATGCACAGCACGCACTCACCTGCATCACAAAGCTGTGTAAATTCACCTGTCCTGCATATGGTTATTTCCTTCGCAAAGTCATTGCTTGGTCTCCCACAATTCTCAAAGGGAATCCAAGGGTGTGTGAGAAGGCTTGCAGGGAGCTAGTACTGTACAGGTCTGACCCTGCTGCATGTCTATACAAGGGTGACTCTGCAAATTCATCCTTCATTAAGGGATTATTTTGAACTGGTTTTCCACAGGCTGTCTTTCTAATAGGAACGAGAACATTTTCTCCAACATCCATTGTCTTTGTCAGATGTTTTCTTTGATATAACTTTTGCATTAATACTCTCATACAGCTAGAAATATTGTCTGTGGCCAAATGATAGATCAAAACTAACTGATATCAATGTGATATAGAGAGTGATTCATTTTATAAACTATAAAAAAGTAAATATGAATTATGTGAACATTTTCTCTTCATAAAAGAAACTTGTTTGCATGTATATACACATATGCTGGAATTGAATGAAAATGCACTGGAGGCAGTGGGAAAATAACCATATTGAGATTTTTTTGCCTCTTTGGAATGGAATGCTAGCTCACTGGACTGGAACTGTTTTTTAGTAATTATAGTTCAGTAAATTATTTTTACTGACTTAATATTTTTACCCGATGTCAGGAGCCACAGTAAGTAGCCTATGTAGAAGAAATGTTGCCTCAGCTCTTAACAATAGATTTGGAATTGAACAGTCCAAATGGGAAATCTCAATGCAACTGTTGAGTCTTTTTAAAAATTATATTTGGAAAGTTGTGTTATATTTCAAAATAAGGCCATTTCACAGCCTCAGTGCACATGGACACCTCCCTGCTTTGCTGAAAGAGGATGTTACATCTTCAGTTTTATAACCATATTTTACAAAATCCAAGCCAATGCTATGGGATGCTTTTCAATAAAGAGCTAACTTTAAAGAAATATATTTGCCTTCTTGGTAAATACAACTTGTTGTGAGTGTTATGGCTCATTCTTTCCTATTGCTGTGCAGTTTTACACTTTGCAAACATTTCATCCATTTTTTCTCATTCCTCTGTGTCTGTAGTTTATTTCTCCATTTCTACTTATTTAATGTATTGAAGGTTTTTTTGTGTGTGGTAATTGCTTTATTGTTTCTTCTTTGTTTAATGTCTTAAATATTCTTCTAATTTTATCAACTCATTTCTTCTGCCTCAGTTTACTCTGTTGTTTTTCAAATTCCAAATAGGATGCTTAATTCATGTATTTTCATTCTTGATTTTTTAAAAAATACAAAGCAAGGAGTTTTTTTTTTTAATCATGGAGAATCTCAAGTTCTGATATGTAGTATGTTCGCAATCACTAAATAGTCTGTAATTTTTGTTTTGATTTCTCTTTTTTCCAAGTTGATTCAGATAAAGGGATTTGCTTATAATTTTTCATTTGATAGCTTTGGAATTAATTTTTGTTCATTGAAATTTGATCAAAGACTTTTCATTGTTTGGAGCTTATTAAATTTGTGCATCATCTGCTATATAGTCAATTTGTATGAATTTTCATGGCTCATAAAAAGTAGATTTATTTCTTATTTGCAAGGTACAGAATTAAGCACATCTACCTCATTGATTATGTTATTATACATAATTTTTAAATTTTTGAGGTATTATGACAGATGTTTATTTTTTCTTTTATGCACTGTAATTTTTGCTTCTTAAATTCTAATTGTCATTTGGGTCTCAAATATTGGTAACTATTAGATTCTTATAGTTTATTGTCCCCATTGTTTGTATAAAGCTCATATCTTTGTCTCATTTAATGCTTTTCCTAGAATTAAAATGTGACTCATATTAAGAATTTGACCGTCTTTATGTATTTTTTTACTTTTAACCTTTCAGATACATTTTGACTTGGGTGTATTTTAAACATCCAATGTAACTGAATTTTTTAAATAAACCAGTCTTAGAATTCTTTTATTATTTAAAATTAACATCCATGAAAAGAGGCCCTGGGATTTAGCTCAGTGGTTCTGCCATCTGCCTTTACAAGCTCAAAGTCCAGAGTTTGATCCCTGCTACCAAAACAGAAAGAAAAAAAAAAACAAAAAACAAAAAACAATAATTCTTGGTCTTAGTTGCTGTTGTATTTTAATATATTTTATATGTTTTTTAAAAAAATAGGTCACTATATTATCTCTGCCATCTCCATTATAAATTTCTAATGATGTGGAAGTTTCTATTTTTACTTAGATAATAAATAGATTTTTTATTAATACAGTTTGCAGTAGATGTTTACACTCCTTGTGGGAAGTTGATCTCTGCATATAATACATCTCAATTTCTCTTTTCATCCCTTTCTCCATGATTCCCTTCCCCTTCCCTCTCCTCCATCTCTTGATCCCCTTCCTCTTTGAGAAAGTTCTGTCTCCCTACTTTTGTTATCTTTTATTTTTCTCTTTTTTTATATTGGGTTTCTCATATAAAAGAAACCATGCGGTATTTAAACTTATTTGTCTCATTATTTTACTTACTGTTATGGTCTGAAGGTGCATTATTTTCCTACAAATGACTCAAGTTCATCTTTTTAGTTCTTCTAATAGCATATTAATGACAACTAAATCTATTTTTTAGATAGTTTGCAATGTCTCCCTTTTATAAAAATTAGTGAACTTC